TGAAGTACGGCTTCCACAGGCCGACACACAGGCTGAACACATCCAAAGAAGCTATCAGTGAAATGAAGATGTAGGAAAAGAAATGACTCATCCTGAAAGAAAAGAAAGAATAAAGAAGTCAATTAAAAATCATTCTTTACATGTTATGGGAATCTCAAGAAATTTTTGAAGAATAGGTGAAATATAATGGAGCAGAAAGACAGAATGGCTGAGAACTTCCATAATTTAATGCAGACATCAAACCACAGATCCCCTAAATCTTAAACACCAATAAAATAAACACAAAATCAAACCAAAAAATAGATAAAATTCAAATTTTGAATAATGAAAAGCAAAAAGAATATCTTGATATAAGAAAAAAAATCACACTGCCTAAGAGAAGGAAGTTATTACAGAAGAATTCATACTAGAAATTATGCTAAGGAAAATAATATACAGCATCATCTTTAGAGTGCTGAATGATGAAGTGGCATGTAATTCAGTGGTAGAGTGCCTACCAAGGCATGTACAAGGCCCTGGGTTCAGTCACTAACATTACACAGGAAAAAAAAAAACTAGAATAAAATAGCCAACACAGAATTTCGATAACCAGCAAAAATAAAATACGAGCAAATTAAACCCCAAATAAAGAGATTGAAAGAATTGATAGATTAAAAAATCAGTATTTTGAAAAAGAAAAGTAAAAAAAAAATTTAAGAACTGGTCCTTTGGAAAGACTGATAAAATTCTTGAACATGGAGACAAAGAAAACTTAGAAAGAGAAGAGTGTTTGAGAAGATAGCCGGGTCAGCTAAATGTTAAGAATGCAAGGATGAGGGCCGTGAATTCAGATGCCTGGAATCTACTTGAAAACTGGGTGCAGTTGTGTGGTTCTGTGATCCTAGCCCTGGGGAAGCAGAGCCAGGAGAATCCTGCATACTCCTGGCCAGCTAGACTAGCCAATCAGTAAGGACCAAGTTCAATGAGCGACCCTGTTCTCAAAAGATAGCGGACAGTGAAAATGGAGGACATCTGATGTCTACCTCTGGCTTCCACACACACACACACAAACATACCTGCATCTGTATGCACACATATAGATGTGTACACACATACATATGTACACAAACGTTATATACATATAGGTACAACATATAAACAAAATTTTAATAAAAGAAAAAAGACATAACCAACACCAAGAGTAAATGAGAGTGCATGTCTATAGCTACTGAACACATCAGAATGATAAAATAGTACAATTATTTTATGCATATAAGTCAACAAATTGAAAAATACAAAAAAATAGATAAATTGCCTGAAATCACAAATAACCAAAGTTTGAAGGATGATGATAATTCCAGTCTTACCTGACTGAAATGGTATCTGTAAACTCTGAAGCCAGAGCAATGATATTTGACCTTAGGAAGGTACCTTACTCTCATAATACATTTATTTTCTCACATTTAAAAAAGAAAATAATTACCACACGTATCACACTTATGAAAAAAATAATTAACATAAATAAATGATAGAATATCTCACATAGTAAATGATGTATGTTTCTTGTGATTTTTATAAAATTCACTATCATGTGAAATAATCATGACAATGAAATAGTGTATCACATATACATGTATAATAATCTTAATAACTTATTATATGTATGGCATCATTTCTATGTGGAATCTGAAACAGTCTAACAGAGAAGGGGAGGCATGTAACAGGAAATTCGGTGAGGGGAATGCGGAGTTGTCGATATGAATGTTCAGTAAGTTACAAGATGAGAAATTTTTGGAGATTTCATGTATAGACTAGTGACTACAGTTTACAATAATGTTCTGTATATTCAAAATTTGCTAAGAGTAGATCTTAATTGTTCTCACGAGAAAAAAGATCATGATATTAAATAACTAATAGCTTGGTTGTAGTAATTGTTTCATAATGTATACATATATCAAAACAACATATTGTGTGCCCAAATATATACAATTTTTATTTGTAAATTATGTCTCCATAAAGCTGGGAGGGGAAACTGAAAAAAATGAATTAACTATTAGCATATATACATTTTTGTATGCATGAGCATAACATAATTTCTGACATTCTTTGTGTGAGGGGTGGACTCACTCCACTTGTGAAGACCAAAGGCTGATGGTAGGCACCCTCTTTTGTTATTCACTAGCTAATTTTTTTCTTCTCTTTTACTTTTATACTTTGATGATTTCATTGCATGCATATGATGTTTTCTGATTACTTCCACCCCCTGCCCACTCTTGTCTCCCTGCCACCCCAATGAACCATCCCTCCCCCATACAAGTGCCTTTCCCACATTTATGTCTTTTGTTCTGTGACCCACTAAGTTTATCCAGGGTTGTCTTGTGAGCCATGGAACTATCCATTGGATTATGGTGGGCTCACAGTGGACACATAGCTGAAGCAATGACTCCTCCTCCCTGGGAACTACCCACCTCATGTTTTTACATGTATTACTGTATGTGTCTGTGTGTCTGTATGTGTGTGTTTGCACATGTACATGAAGGTATGTCATAAAACATGTGGCAGTCAGAGGACAAACTGCAGAAATTGGTTATTTCCTTCCATCATATAGGACACAGGAAATGAACTCAGGCCATCAGGCTTGGTGGCAAGTATCTTAACCTATTCAGCCATCACACTGGCCCCCACCTCATTTTCTGAGTCAAGATCTTTTACTGAATCTGGATCTCATTGTTTTGACAAGGCTGGTTAGACAGTGAACCATGGATCATCCTGTCCCTGCATCCATTCCCTCTTTCCTAGTGCGAGGGTCACAAGTACATGCCATCACTCCAGGCTTTTAAGTCCATGGTGGGGATATGAACTCAGGTCCCTATGCTTGTGCAGCAGGTACTTTATCATCTCTCTAGCCCCCAAGATTATGATATTTGCAAGCATATAAAGCATGGAGTTAAAGTGAAAAAACATGTATGTGCATATGTGAACTCCTATATGTTTTGCAAACATTCAGAAAAGTGGAAAATTCTGCACACTGAAAACAATGCAACAAAACAGTATTGATTTTGGGAAGTACAGAACTTGTCACAATCAGGCATTATCTTTATGCATAAAAATACTAAACAAAATAGAACCTGACCAAACTTAATCCTCTACATTTCAAAACACATATAAACAATGTGAATATTTTTCCAAAGGAAGGTGCAAGTGATTACAAAATTATATCATTTCTTGACTCAATTTTAGTCAAACTCTCTTTGGAACACTATAAAGTAACTAACTTGTAGTACAGTCCAAAAGCTTTTCCTCTGTTTTCCAAACTCTAAGAAAATGATACTCTATCTAATTCTTTCTGAAATAGGAGTGACCAATATGCTTCAAAACTTGTAGACAATGAACTAGATGCTAAGGTGCTGCTGTGAACTTAAATATAATCAATCATGAATTCAAAGTAACAGAATCATAAAACCCTGGAAAGTTTCTCAATATTTAAAAATGCTGTATTAATGTAATTTTATTCTTAACTGGAAATAATAAATTTTTGAATACCTACTTTTCCACTATAAAAGTTTTAAAAAATTTCTTCCACTTAAAGGATAAACTGTATTATATACTATACCATATAAATTTACTACAAAACATTTTTAATATTTTGTTTTGTTTTTGTTTGTTTCTTTGTTTTTGAGACAGGGTCTCCCTGTAGCCCCAACTGATCTAGAACTCACAATGTAGACCAGGCTGGTCTTGATCTCACAGAGATCCACCTGCCTGTACCTCTGCCTCCTGAGTTCTGGGATTAAAGCCACACACCACCACACCTGACTCTCTTATGCAATCTTAGAGAAAAGGCTCAAATTCCAATTTCCAAATCAAAACTGCAAAAAATACTAAAGGAAAATTCAATACTTAAATGTTTTATTTTTCAAGTTATAAAGTTTCTTTATCAAATGTGGAACATACATAAAATGTTTGTATTATAGTATGTGTTTCTACTAGAGAATAGAAATGAAATTTGGTTATAATTCCAGTATTAACTGCCTTAACATGAGGATTGTTTCTTCAATTTAGATAAGCTGCCAAGCTCCTCAGGATTTCTTTCATTAACCCCGGTAGACTTGATGAACACACAGCACAATTATTCCTGTGTCACTGTAGTAAGGCAGAGATTACATTTGATCTTTTTTCCTTCTTCAAAGCCTACCACAATGGTTTCTACCAAGTAGTCATGGACTGAATGAATAATGAACCAGCACCTGACCTAAAGAGTACATTAATTCTTTAGCATTTGAGCCTTTTAGAATCAATATAACTATTTCAAAAATGTACTCCCACAACTATATAAAATACAAATTAAAATATTACAATATAAATATTTCCTATGAATTTGTTTAGCAAGTCTTTGCAAAAACATGCTTCCCTTCATCCAAAATAATAAAGCAAGCCTACAACCTTTAATCCATAGTACTGTCTCAAAAGACCCGCAAGGTTTTTGAAACAGAAAAAAAGCTCATAAAGTTCCTTTGAGGATAAGTAAAAATTATTGTGTCCCCCATTGAACAGAACTTTAGTATAAAAACTTACTCAACTTTATTGCTAGCATGAATTTTGAGAACCAGCTAATTTACCATTTTAAAGTAATTTATAAAATAAATCAGCTTTTTATCATATTCAAAATTTAGGAAAAAAGATGAAATTGGAAATTCAAAATGAAATAGGAACATAAGTTGAAATCAAAATTATGAAATCAGTAGCACAAAGAGCAATTTCCACATAAAATGGTAATTTGGGGAACAGAGGTGCCTCTGGAACTCTCCAAACAGCTCTGTTGTCTCTATGCCTCTACCCTGCATACAGACGATGGGGACTCTGGGAAATGACCCCATTCCATCATTTCTCTGACTCCAGAAGGAGGTTACAAGGAAAAGACTTTAATAAATGAGTACATGTATGAGACACAAATATTCTTTTAGGTCTAAGTACATCTCAGATATATCTATTTAATTATGATAACTGAAACAAAATCCTACCTGAAATAATTTTTCCTTTTGGCCCATGCCATTGGAATGATGGGTCTACCAGTTCGGTATTTCTCAGTTGTTGGGTTACACATAGCACATGTGGACTCTTTTGATGGAGCATGACATATACACTCACTGAAAATACAATATTAAAATGTTCCAATAACATTTTATGCTCTTTCTTTCTCTAATAATACCTTACATTTTTGCAACTTGGGTTATATTCTCTGACATGATTTCTTTGTATTACTGCACCTGTTACTTGATAATAAGAACTTAATTTCATTGTCTCCATGTATTTACAATAAAAGCATGCAATACATTTTACTGGACTATAACATATGTCTGTATAGAGGCATCTTTGTGTGATGGTGTTGTCTTAAAAATGAACATAATGTATTGGGATTTTTATTCAGATCCCACATACACTGACCTATTTTATTCTCAGGGTATTATTTCAATTACAGTACTAAGATAATCCTGTATCTATAGTTAATCTGTTTTGCAAAGATATCTAACCTAAACACAGTGCATAAAAATTAGATTAGAGGAACAATACATTATTTACAATGGTATGGTATAATGCACTGAGTTAAAAATAAGAATGTGATGAAAAAGTCATTGTGTATGTACCCAAGTTGATTTTAAATATTATGTATATTGTCACACTCTGCTTAAAAACTTGAACAACCATGATAAAAAAAAAAACACTAGGATTCTTTAGGAGGTACAAAAAGAACACAGCTGTGAGTATACTTACAGTCAAACTTTTAGAAAAGGTTCATATAACTCTTTAGCAACTATATACCAACTCTTCATTGATTCATCAGAGTCAAGATTTTGGTGATCCAGTAAAATAAAAATTATTTTTGAAAATCGAAATGCTCATTAACATTAAACAACCTTTATACTCTAGCCATGAGACATGTTTTAGATATGCACAGGTTATGGAAGCTCGCCTCTATTCTTGGTTATTTGATTTTTGTCATAACTTGATACTGAATTTTAACAAATTTCTATTTCAAGATGATCACTTAGGTATTTTTCTTCTAAAGTATTTTAACTGGATGGCTGATGTTAATAGGCTACCTTTTTATAATAAATCAAATTGATTATGTTTCTATTTAATAATTGTCAGATTTGATTTGCAGACACTTTCTTAGGATCCTTGCTACTATGTTCATAAATGTAACTAATGTAACTATGTATCACTTTCTTATACTATTCTTTTTCTTTTTAACATCTCAAGTATTTATTATCATTATATATGTAATATTCATTTTAATAGTATTATTAAGGTAACATCTAAGATAGGTCACATGGAAAGGGCTGGGCCTATACTATGACTGTCTTTGAAAGAATATAGTATTGTCCCAGACCCTTTCTTTAATCTTTTTTTTTTTTTCGGTAATGGGGAGAGCAGAAAACTGAATTTTGAACTACCACTAAGGTTGAATTTAATTGCTACTAGTCTACTATAGAAATTTCTATTGTACCAATTACCCAAGTTATAAGTTTAAAATATAAAAATACTCAGAATAAGTTAATATTATATTTGACTCTCATTCATAACTTTTTTAAACTTTTATTATTTTCTCATGAAATCATTTGCCAAAGATTTATATAGTAACTATTCCAAGGAAAGCTTTTGATTCCATTCAATATTCCAATATTGAATTATTCTTTTGTGGTCTCCTTCATTAATTCCTGCTCTTCTTTAACATCTGTTCTCCTTCTCTTAGTGTAAGCTTCTTTCTTTCTTCTTGAATAAGCATTCTCCTCACACATTTTCCCTCCATGGTCTAACATAGTGGCTACCTTCTTCCCCATGACCTATCATTTGCATTTATCCCATTATGCCTCTTTCCATACCCTACATTCAATCCAGGTCACAGAAATACTCAGCATCACATCTTTCTGATTTTACACCACTAACTGCCTACCTAGTGCCTCCAAACATTTGGAAAGTGATGCACAAATCTATCCTTCTGATTAGTTTCTTTGACAGGACCTCATGTCACTATTATGCCCTTCCTATAGGCCTCCACTAACTCCTGTACTAATTTCAATCCCAGCCACCTCGACTGAGTTCAAGAAAGCTCCACAACACTATATCAATACACCAAATAAATAATGCTTCAGGATATCAACAATACTACATTAACCACATTGCAGAATAAACATAACATTTACAGATTAAACAGAAGTTGGCCTCTAATAAAACAAGACCTCTGTGAGTATTTTCTGAATCCATCAGAAATAAATAAATAAAGCTAGAACACACTACTCTAATTATTATGAGAATATAGTTATATTTTTATAGAAATATTGTAACAATAGTTTTAAAAGCATGCTCAACCATAGGACATTCCACAAGTTCCTAACAGTACAAGTTAGAATATGATACCAATTACATGGTGATAGCTTTGCCAATAAACAATACGCTCCTCCGTGGCTAAGAAGGGAGACTGCCACAGATGACAGGTCCCAAAGACAAATGGAGTACAATGGTAACCTTTAAGTCCAATTTATCACACCACATTTACAATACAACCAAAATATTTGCAAGCAACATTCCAGAAGTGTTTGTTTCAAGAATCTCTTTTTTATATATATTTTTACATTAGAGATAAAATATTTTGTTTACTAAAAGATAGTATTAGACAAATGGAAACCATGTGACAGGGTAGATGAACAAATTTTCAATATATATATAAAACTGATGATTATTTGTATACACAATATATTTTAAAATCTCATAAGAACTAACAAAGAAAAATAAAACTGAAAAGAGTGGCAATAAATATAATAAAAGTTGTTAAATTTTATCACCCTCCAGGGAAATATAAGCTAGAAACTCTTGAATACTGATTTTAAATGTATTTGGATTACATCTTTACACATAGCTAAAACAACCCTATTAAAGAAAAAGTAAAGAGAGTAGCAACGAAAACTATTGAGATACCACTACAAAGTTATACTAAATAAAACACAGTAAGGTGGTACTTGGACTAGTGACTCTAGAAAAAAATGCATATATGATGAAAGACGTATTATTACTAAATTATGATAAAATTTTAACTAAATATGTTTGTGGACATTAAACTTAAATTTATACCTTACATCACATGCAAAATAAATTCCATCTATACTAAAGCACTGAAGTCATATAATTATTTAATTAAATTGTAAATTAATATCTTTATGTCTTCAGGTTATGGAAAAATTCTTTTAATGCTGAAAGCACACATAAAATACTAATTCTTTAAATATTAATAATTTCTATTAATCCTCTACAACAAAAGCCAAATTAAATTTACTTTAAGAAAAAGATACTTGAAACATCAAAAATAATCAATGGTGGATTCAATCATTGGAATATAAATAATTCCAAAGTAACTCTTTTGAAAAGACGATTGAAAAAAGCACTGACAAAGGCAACTTGGCCTTCAATTTATGAAAAGTGGAAGCACTTTATAATATTATATACTGTGAGAATGTGGGAAGATGGGCCGCACCAGTCTCAGTTACAGGAGTTGTGAGTGGTATGGTCACTTTAAGAGTACTATCTTAGTGACATGAGGCATAATCATGTTCTCTGATGCTGAACCTCCATTTCTAGATGCAATATACACACAAAAAAACAAAAATACAAAGAGATATATAAAATGGTATTCTTCATATTTTTTTATTCTACATCAAAAAATGAATTAAGGTTCTAGAGAGAAGGTTCAGTGGTTACGAGCACTAGCTGCTCTGAAAGAGGACCTGGGTTCAGTTCTCAGCACTCATATGGTGGCTAACAACCATCTGGAACAACCATCTGATGCCTTTTTCTGGCTTCCACAGGCATTGCACACATGTGGTGTACTTACATACATGGAGGCAAAACAGTCATAAACATAAAAGAAAAATAAATAAATACCTAAGTACATTAACTGTAGGCGCAATAAGAACAGATAGATCCTGAGTGAATAACCATGCCTGAATGAATAAAAACAGAAAAGAGACCTGAAAAAAATAAGTAAAAGCTGAGCTCATTAAATACAAGATACAGATAGAGCATAAAAATGGCCAATAAACAGATGATGAAAGACTTTGCACAACATAAGAAACTGAAGGTATTATGAGCTAAAATACAGCCAGATATTGTAGAGACACAATGTTTAAACTTTAAGTATCAATCTAAAATAGACTAAAATAATCAGCTTCTTATATAAAAATTCCCTGTTCAATTCAAATATTAATTTCTCTTAATAATTCATTTAATATTCAATGAAATAAAGCAATAAAAAAGATGATTTACACATAAATTATGATCCAATTGAAAGTTATAGCTAGAGAAACCTCAATGAAAATCAAGTAATAAACACTAAAAAGTTATCTCTTGTATGAAGCTAATGAAAATGAGTATTTTCAGAATTCTGGAAATTAATCAAAGACTTTTTGCAATCAAGAAATCATTACTACAAAACAATCAATAGAGAGGAACCAAAAGCTCAGACCTGCAGGCCGAGTGCAAGGGTCCTGCAGTTCTTCCCTTCCAGTGCAGATCGCAGTGCTCTCTCCAATGTCAGGAGATAGTCATAAGCTTCGACATTTGCTGTCCGTGGGAGTATAAACCTGGTGGCCTCTGGAGAAAGTAGGAACCTTCCCAGCCACTGGTCACAAAGCTCACTGGGACCAAGAGAGGTTCTGAGTATGCAAAAAAAAAAGGAAGCTTCTACAATGAATGTAGCCTTCAAGTTGACAACTAAGCCTGATTAGCTGGCCTAACTCGTGCCCACATTCAGGACCAACCTAAAGAGTCCACCTGGGACTCATTGCCACTTTCCAAACCTGGCAAACTCCAATAATAGAGGGCATTGGAAGATGCTTAAAACTTCTCATTTTTAACATTTTTTTTCTATATGTTTATTATTATTTTATTTTTCAAAGACTTTGGGGGTATATTTATTCTTCTTCATGCCTCTAATTTTATTCTTGTACTTTTCTTTATTTTGAATCAGATTTTTTGTTTTTGGTTCTTTTCCTCAAATTCTTCTATTGCTTTGCATTTAAACTATCTTTCTTTTTATTTTATCTTATTTCACTGATTCTTTTTTCCCCTTTTCTTGTCCCCTCCTTTATTTCTTTCTTATTATTCCTTTACCTTAATATTTAGCTTCCTAGTTTATTCAACATTATTATTTTCTTACCATTTCTTTTCTATGGTTATAATTAATATACTACTTGACTTTGATTTTAACTATATTTCTATATCTGGTGTGTTTTGGTATTGTTTATGTTATAATAACTTGTTTTCTCTTCACTGAGTGGTACTGGGAATTAAGTCTTCAAAAATAAGGTACTCAATAAGAAGACCTCATAGAAGAAATATCCATTCCAATGGATACACAAATTACAACTTAGAAACACCTTTTAGAAAAAAAAAAAATAAGACTCCTCCAAAGCCTCCAAACCCCTTGGTAACTACATCCCAAGATACTGAAATGGCAGAAGTGCCAAATAAAGAACTCAAAAGTCTTGCTTTAGAAATATCATTGACATTAAAGAAGATTCAAACAGATGAAAGAATCTATTCAAGACAGTCAACAACTAAGACCGGAAATAAGCAAAGATGATAGATAATAGATTAGATAGATGATAGATGATAGATGATAGATAGATAGATAGATAGATTGATAGATAGATGATAGATAGATAGATAGATGATTGACTGATTGATTGATTGATTGATTGACTGATTGATTGATTGATTTATTGATTGATTTTGATACAGAGTCTCCCTGTAGCCCCAGCTGGCCTGGAACTCACTATGTAGACCAGACTGGCCTTGAACTCACAGAAATCCGCCTGCCTCTTCCTCCCAAGTGCTGGGATTGAAGGCGCGGGCCACCACACCCAGCCTCAAAGAGAGATTCTTAAACAAGCAAACCAAATATGCAAACAGAAATTTTGGAAGTGAAAAGTCCAATAAACCAAATTAAAAAAATCTCAATAGACAACATCACCAATGGACAAGAAAAGAGGAAAAAAAACACAAAAGATTCAAGACAAGTTTCAAAATAAACACATTCTTATAGCAACAAAGAAAAACTCAGTCAGGACCCAAACACCCAAGATCTCTGGGTCATGAGTTATATGAGGAATTTAGAAACCATGATAGATATGACCAAAAAAGAAACTCCCCATATCATACCATGGTAAATATGCCAAGAACACGGAACCAAGAAAGAATACAGAAAGGTATAATACAGAAGTTCCAGGTTAGTTACTAAAGCAAACCTGCCAGAATAACAGCAGGTCTCCCATCAGAAATTCCCAAAGCCAGAAGAGCATGGACTAATATATTTCAAACCCTGAAACAAAAACCTGTGCACCAAGTCTATTAAATAAGCAAAGTTATCCTTTAAAAGTGAAGGAAAAATAAAGATTTTTCTATGATAAGCATAAACTAAGAAATTCCTGAACATTAAACTGGCAACTGCAGAAGAAACACAGAAGTAGAGAAAGGGACACAGACATAAGCACAACAGCTCTGGAAAGAGTAAATCTCACTAGGATAGGTGACCAATGAGAATCAATGTTATTAATGCAATAGACCTCTCCAAAGAAGAAGGAACAAGTCAAGAACATCTCAATAATAACCCTAAAAATAGACTGACAAATGGATTAAAATACATTTGCTGGGCAGACTGGCACACTCCTTTAGTGCCAGCACTAAGGGGGCAGAAGCAGGTAGATCTTTGTGAAATGGAGGTCATCCTGGTCTACATAGCAAGTTCTAGGCCAGCTGGGGGTAAAGAAAGACCCTGTTTCAAAAAAAAAAAAAAGCAAAACAAAAACTACAGGATCCAACTATTTTCTCTATTTAACAACAAAAAAAACTCACCTTCAAGCTAAAAGTGAAATTATGGAAAATGATATTCCAAGAAAAGGAATTTGAAACAAATCAGGAGTAGTTATACTCCTACCTAACAAGAACAATCCAAGGTAAAGTTTCTCAGAAAGGATAAAGGTCATAGCATACTAATAAAAGTAACAATCCTTTCACAAAGATATATTGATTATAAATAGATATGCAACAAATATTAGCTCACCTAATTTCATAAAACACTTCTGGATGTGAAGCTAAAGATAGGTCTGGATGCACTATTAGTGGGTAACTTCAATACCTCGTTTTCATTAGTTGATAGACCATCCACACCAAAGGAAAAAAGGAAGAGAAGGAATATCAGGATTTGTACCATACACGAAATGGATTTAACAGACACCTACATGATTTACTATTCAATAGCATGTGGAATAAGTTCACATAAGTCTATGCTATTTCTCTAAAACACATCACATTTTAGATCTACAAAAGTCAGTAGCCTTTCTATATACCAATAACAAGCAGAGGAAGATTACATGGAAACACTCCCACTCACAATAGCCTCAAAAATAAATAAATAAAATATCTTGGAATAAACCTGACCAAACACATTAAAGATCTCTACA